GGGGGGGGGGGGGGGGGGGGAGGAAGGGGTCTCAAAACACCAGCTATTTAAGATTAGTCATTTGTCATTAAAATGAGAGGTGCGACTATCCTAAATTTAGTTCAAAATCTCCCTATAGCAACTAGCTCCGATAGAATGTCATATTGGAATAAACTCAAAAAAAAACAATTAAAATATTTGACGAATTATGGCATTTAAATTTTGGAACATGAGCTACCTTGTTAAAATAAACAACTTAATAAACCGAAATCAAAACACAAACTCCATACAACTCTAGGAAAAAGAAAATAACTAAATTGATAATTATAATAATAAAGTTAAATGGAACTGGAAGACAGACCTATGAGCGAGCCAGTAGCGCAGTGGTCACTTTTTTGCAGAGCTAAAAATTCAGTTCGAGTTTGATAAGGACTCCTGTTTTCTCGTGAAAACAAATCACCAACACATAGAAGAAAATACGACTGGAGGGAAAAAAGCTTTTCCCCTGAAGGGAGACGTCTACTTTCAATACTGGTAGGTATTTTTACTTTGAAGCATTGCTCTATACCACAATTTCTATTAATATACTTCTAGATTGTGGAATGATTTCGCGTTTCTATTTTTCTTAAAAGCGAGAAAAATTGGACTTAAATCATTGTGGCAAAAGAAAGCGGTGCCTGTGAGAGCACCATAAAGTAATTAGGTCAAGGGGTGTGCGATAGACTTACCTCCACGTGGTGCACCCTGGGCAACGTATACTCATACGGCAAAAAAGTCTATTATTCGGCAGTTGACTTCTGACTTCTAACTACCATGACCCCACTGTATGTCATTTTCGACCACTTCCATAGTACTCATTTTACCTTTTTCTCTACCTGTGTCTGTCTGCCTCTTTTGCATCTGTGAATCTCTCTTCTGTTCCTCCCTACCGACTTTTTTCACTTTGATGTTCCTCCTCCCCTCTATGAAGCCCGTAGTCAACTAAAGGGCTAATGATACCTATCAAAACGCCTGCTATTTGATATAAAATAAAGTAATTAGGTCAGTAAGTTGGCTTTCAACCTAATGTGTCAAAGTAGATCAACTTTCTGCTCCAGTTACGTTTGAGGGCATCAAAATTAGACTTTCTACTAATAGAATCAACTAGGTCAACTTGAAATGCTAGTGGTAGAACAATCTACGTAATTATCTGCGTTTTAAAAGATGGAAAAGCTCCAGTAATGTTTTCCATTAACCAGGAGAACTTAGAAGTACCTTGAAGATTTTCTAATGAGAAATACACCTTCCGCTATTTTTTTATTAATATTTATTACGGACATGAAGTGATAAGAAGCGGCCTCGTTACCAATACCCAAGCAAAAGTACATGTTAAATACAATTCTACCGGCATACACCTAGAGGGTATGTGGCATTATGGAAAAATTTAGACCAGTCATGTGTTGAAGAACTTGGAGCCTTTACCACCAAAAGATCCAAATAAACTCACATTTAAGTTATAACGCACCAAACAATCAATGCTAATATTTGGTTTAGATTGATGGAGAATTCTGATCTGCAATTATGTGATGTAACAACATCTAGCCTAGCCAGCTGAAACAACGACACCGATGAGAATTCAACCAGCCATTACCATATATGCAAAAGCCTCGTTCTTTGTTAATGAAGCAAGACTTTAATTCATGGCTATCTCCATCGTCAGTCATCGAACCTCATCTTCCCTCATATATCTTCGAGTTCTAGATGAACGGGTAGAGAACCAATGCCACAACTGAATAGTGTAACACTAGACAATGCATGCAATTTCTCGCTCATGTAAAAACAATTGACACCCCCAATCTAGCCTAACAAATAAGATCTGGTTTCACACACAAACAAAGTGATAAGTTTTTCCGCCTTATTGTATATGCTTTAGAAAGCACGGCGTGGTATTAGCAGGTGATTGACATTTTCTGACTCGCCAGCTGAGGTGCCATAATCACAAACACACTTGTTGTTGGCTCGGAAAGATTTCATCGTATTCACCTTTAAGTGCAGAGAGAAAGCTATATCTCCTTGGTTTGAAGAAAAGAGTAGAAAATGTATAATGTACAAACGCAAATGCATATGCTAAGCCAAAGATGTGCTCCTGAGGTATAGAAAAGCACTTAATTCCTTAACCCAACCTTCATCTGAGTTGTCAGAAGTCGTGGGCTCAAAGTCTGTCTCAGAGCGGAATAGGCAACCACAATGATGAAGTCTAAGTGAAAAAGGGAGCAATGGGATAAAAGACCCTCAACAGGAAGGCCTCACGATGCCACTCCCAACCCCAAAAGGAGCGAACTAATTGCAGCTTATTAATAAAGTCAAGATGGCGCTCCGGAATAGTATTCGACCTATTAAAAGTTTGCAAGATCGATTCAATCCATCTTGGTCAGCAACTTGTCTTTAAATACCTGAATCATTATGGGCATTCTTTCAGACAAAAATCTCAACTACGCACATCTTGAAAGCTTCTACTGCACAGTCACGATGGCCTAAAGCGATTCTCTCCTTACAAATGCGAAACCACAATGGAAAGCTATCCGACTAACTACTTCAAAGCCGAACAAAATCACCTCTGCTTTAAGCAGAGCATAAATAAAAAAAAGAAGAGAAGTCTAACTAGTTGTTTAAACTCATTCCATAATTCCCTTAACCAAGATGTAAGGTATGCGCAGTTGCTCTTAGAGCTATCCTTTCAACGTGATCTTAAATGCGACGGAAAAAAACCGATGTATCAAGTGGAAGAGCGAGGTCACCAAGCAATTTTTGTTCAGATACAACGGTGCAGTCTCCTTAACAATTTCCTTGTACAAATATATACGCCAGCTATTGTGATAGGGGAACATTGCGCCAATAGCAAAACACATGACCGCTCGGTAGTGATACTTAATTTACGTGCTAGTTCACGTGCAAAAATTAAATGAAATCATAAATGGGGGACAATAAAACCCCAACAAGAGAAATTACGTAAGCTCGTAGGGTCACATTAAGTGATACATCTCAAGTTATAAAATGCTGTTAAGATTTACTTACCCCCAAAGCTATAGCTATTGGTGATATGAGACCAAAGTGACTATTTCTCTACAGCCAAACGAAGGTCATAGACCTCCTCCTCCTCCCTTTCGTGTGGTTTATCGATTACTGAGATTATATTATGTAAACTCGTCAATGAAGCAATTATCGCTTGCTTGACTAATTCCATATAAGAAAATGTACTTTCTTCATAAAATAAAACTATTCGATCTACATATCTTCTTTCCACTTCATGGGTTCGGAGTGGTTACAGCTTTCTAATAAGTGGACTAAACTTCGATTAATATGGTCACCATCAATAATGTCTTCAAGATTATCATTTACAACATCTTTCTAAAGCTAAATTTCGGATCATATTCAAACGGATTCCGGTTCTCCACAAAAAGAACCACATCAAGACAACACCAAAGCGATAAAAGATAAATGGATGAAGAAAATGACAGAGAAAACGTTCGACCCGAACGTCTCAGACTCCTTTACCAAACCCCTCATCCATTCATCTCAACAACAAAAAATGCAAGAGATTAGAGTTGTTGTCTGTTAGCAGACAAATGTTCATTTCATTCTGCAAATTAAGCAGAGGTAATAAGTGCCAAATAAACTGAATCTGCAAAAAAGGAATACCAAATTACACAGACCCAATCCGTCGAAATTAGAGACTAGGAGAGCAGGGTGGAAGTGCTTGAAAGCAAGTTTTCTGTTTGAAAAAAAAGGTGCAAAATCTTGCCAAGTGCAAAGTATCAGCCACAATAAAAACATGTCAAAAATAAATCAATAAAAAGGTGAAATGATCCATTATATTATATTATGAATGCATGAGTGAAAAGGCAAGTAGATAGGGATTTGTCATGACGAGAAAATTACTAAGAAAACTCATGCGTGGGATTAAATATTTGCCATTAAAATCAAATATTCGAGAAGTATCTTTACAAACCTCAAGGTAAAGGCATTATGAGCAAACTCAAAAAGAGCAAATAATCCAATCCCCTCCCCCCCCCCTCCCGCCCCACCCCCCAGCCCAAGCTGACTCATTGCCATAAATAAATGCATGACAAATGCAGAAAGCGATCAAAGTGCAGATAGGTGATTGGTCCGTGTTTTCCAAACGATTCGTTAATAATTTCGATTTGTGCATAAATCTCATTTTGGCAAATACAGACAGTCACCTCGCCCTATCGCCTTGTCTACCACATAACCCTGGATTTAGAAAGGCAGCCAAAATATAGGCGCGGTCACCGATTTAGGTAAGCCAAATCATATCACAGTTCAACGCATTAAACATTAAATGAAATTTCCTTAAAAGAGCTTTATCAGGAATAAATAGGCGAATAAAGTTCACTTGTTTCAGATCATTTACCGTCATCTGTTTAGGGGTATTCTTAGTACAATAGTGGCATGCTCTAATCCACTAGAAATACCAAAATTAAAGTGCACAAAATGAGAAAATACAAATTTCCACAAAACATACCTTGCTGTCTGATTTCTTTAACAAGAAACCTGTCTTTGAGCGTCCATAGGCAAAGTTTATTGGCAAAGCCTGAGTCCCAGAGTATCCACTGTTCATAGGTTGAGCCTGATAAAGTTTATTCAATTAAAGTTGTTCAGCGAAAGCAATGAAAGTGTTTAATAAGCAGTTAGTTCACTAACCATTGCATCCTTATTATCCTGCAGTTTTTTGCGTACAGCTTCTCGCGTATCAACCAGCTGACGCTTTTCGGTGTCGTGCTGCTTTTGAAGACCACTGATATTGCTAGCAAGATCTGGAAGGGTTTTTCCAAAGTGTTCCATTACGTTAAGACTCTCGCGAAAGTAGCTTAAAGGCATAAAATGTTCAATAGTTTAGTCGAATAAGTACTTAAATAAGTAATTAGTAGATCTGCATTCGCAATCACCACTCTTACTAATCTACCAAAATGTAAGGAATTAAGATTCAAAGAGATGGAGGTAATACAGGTACCACCGATAAATAGAACAGGCCTGAAAGTCCCTCTTTCAACTAATGCTAATAAATCAGCTAATAAGAGCAAAAAATGAAAGCTAATGAAAAAAGAGTTGTTCTGGGATCAGCTTACTGTAAGTGAGCATGGTAAAAGTCAACAAAGTGTTGCAGGAAATCGGATCCCTTCTTAGATTTCACGTCATTCACTTTAATAAAGTACTGTAAAATAAGAAAAACAATAATTATTTCAAACGAATGGAATGTGGTGAGACAATAGTGAGGGAGAGAGAGAGCAATTTGGCAACTTACATCACAAACTTCCAACTGTAATCGACGTCGTTCTCTTTCAAGATTTTCGGCCATTTCACACGTGAAGGACTCTGGGGTGTAAATTCCGGTTTCCTTCATTGTCTGCAACTTCTCCTTCTTCAATTTATCACTAGGAAAGAGAGGTTCAAATAGGAAGTATAATTTTTTGGGGCTATTTAGGTGTCAACGATGACAACAAAAAGCCATTACACGAGAAAAACACTGGGGACTAAATAAGACCTTAAAGGTGGGAAAAAAGTATTTGCATTATGATCTCTTCGCGGAAATAAGCAAAACACGAAATGACCTTCCTAGAATATAATAATATTTAATTTTCGTAAGTAGATTGAAGAGGGCATTTTCAAGATCACACAAAGAAGAGAAGTAGACACCATGAACCCCCATGACTTAAAAATTCAGCCAACCATTCTACAAATGATCATATAGTTCTTTAAAATGACGATAAAATTCATACAGACTTGGTGATTTCTTATACACAATCCCAGGTTAGCTCATTTACAAGAGGCAATTACAAAAATATAGTAATAGACAACTTTAGAAGTCATAAATCTTTGAAAATGAATATTTCGCCAAAAAAACATTAGTTTCTGAAATAAAAATATATATGTATATGGAAATTTAGTATAAACGTCAATTTACTTTTAATTAACTCAAAAATCAAAATAAGAAGTAACCAGGAGAAAGAAAAAGAAAATAGAAATTTTGTCTAACAGAAACTCAACGCAACAGTAAGAAATGTGGGCAGATAAGTTTGAAAGTGTTTGCGGATGAGGAATTTTCAAATTGTAATAAAATTAATAATTCCAAATGCTGATTCCGATTTAATCCAATCGGCTTCCAATGAAGAGACACTACAAATGCAATAAATAATTCCCTAACAAAGCAAACAGACAAATTTCTGCCTAATAACCATTCAAGCTAAGCAATAATACGGCCTTAACGATATTAAGGGTTCAAAGCAAAGGCAGAGACGCCATAATTACCGAAATTCCGGTAAATAACTTCCGATTAAACGAAATTAAACACAAATGAAACCCGATTATTTCAATCAATATTTACTTCAAGTTTTGTTTTGAGATCAAGCATTGCTATAAAGAGGACTTTGTGATGCTGTAAAAGCAATGAAAGTCACAATTTGCTTTATTAACAGAAAGTTAATAATTGAAGCTGAAAATGCAATAATGTGTGTTTGTGAGCACTTTAGGGAATAAAATATAGAATAATGGAATTTTGCAAAGTGGAACTTACTATTTACATTCATAGTCCTTCAGAGACTTGTCAAAGGGCTTTTTAAGATCACTTTTAACATCACCTTGAAGGAAAGCATCCATGGGGAAAACTAAAATGCTGTTCAGATTTTGCATCTAAAATAAGGAGCGAAACACATGAAAAAAATGTAGAAAAATTGCAAAATTACAGTTGTGATGTCTTACTAAATGCTTAAACATATTTCCCAAATCACGGTGAATGACAGAAAATTTCCAAAACCCAGCTGTTAAATCGCTTCCATTGTTATTATCTGATTGTGCAAATTGGCCCAGATTTTCGAGATGATCACATAATGCCAAAACTGAATCTGCATAAGACAACCCAGCCGAAACCACACCTTTGACATACTTTCTCGATTTTGACACAAGCGCTCTATCCGAATCAAGACTCTAAGAAAACACGGACGTAGAAGTATTATTAGACAAACCTCATCAAGTGAATAGACAGTCTGCCGAATAGATGATACTTTGGAACTAAATTCAGAAACCGAAGGTGACTGGATGTCCTTAAGCGTATCATTTATAAAATCTTCAATAGTAACTGGTTCCGCCATATTGGTTAGAAACGACGAAATCAGGCACAGCTATTGTCAACTATCTCAAGACTTTTAATCTAGGCTCGTTTAATCATACACAT